GTCAATAAAATTATATCACATCATATGTTAATACATTAATTGATATATCAATTAGTACATACAACTTTATTCAATCAATTATGCATACAAACCACAATCCAAATTTACAAGCCAATCAATTTTGTGCATGCCATTCATAAAATCAAGTCCAACTAAGTGTCTTTTATAATTGAATAAAATGAAATCTTTTTAATAACATTTCTTAAAAACAACCATTGTATTATTTTGTGGAAAACAACAATTAATTTTTCCTTCAGAATTTTATTTTCATCCAATTATATGAAAAACTCAATTAACAAGTATAAAAATTCAATTCATTCAACATAAACTCCAATAAAGATTAAATCATTATATCCACATCCAACGTAGACAAATTTCTCCACATCCAAAAACTAGGACAGGTTATACACAAATTTATTTAATGTCTTTTTAAAAAAAAGGAAATAAACAACAATTTCCGTAATAGTATTTACATAAAGCACAAAAAAAAAATAATGCAGCTTTCAAATAACGACAATGTCAACTCATGGATCTAGCCTCAGCGCTTGTACGGCTTCTTCAAAATGCTTTTGCATCTATCTCCCAGTTCGACTTGTGTATATCTTGATGCTTGCACCAAATCTTTCTTTAACTTTCTATAGCTGTGTGTCATTTTCATTGAAGCTAAAAAAGAGATAACCTGACATTCCACTTTGAAACCAAAAAGAAAAAGAAAAAAAAAAGAGCAATCTTCATGAGCAAAATTTCAAACCATAAGCAACCGAACACACCTTTCATTCAACCCCAAACATGGCCATGTATCCTATCGTAACATTGATAGCCACCGGCACTGTAAAGATCATTTTTCTACAAGTTAGCAAAATTAGTTAACTAATCGATTGTCCAATTGATTGTGTGAGTTTGGTAACGAGGAAGAGAACAGAGAGAATGTAAGGTTGGTAACAAGGGAGAGAAAAAGAGAGGGACTGAAAGTTGGTGTTGTTATATTATATTTCAGTGTAATTACAAGAGAGCAAGCTCCTTCTCTTTATAGAGAGGAGAGGGAGACAATTAGCATCGGATGCCTGGTAATTTACATTGAGAGAAGCTAAAGCTAAAGTGAAGGTCTCTTCTTTACAGCTACACATTGAGGCCTTTACAGATGCAAGGTCTTTTACAGCTATACATGGTAGTGGGGGTGTATATTATATGTATATTATATGTTAACAGCCCCCCGCAAACTCAAGGAGGGTAGGCATCGACCAAGTTGAGTTTGGAAACAAGATCACGAAAGCGCCCAGGAGAATGAGCCTTGGTGAAGATATCAGCAGGTTGATCGGCAGAAGCAATTGGGAGAAGATGAACAGTACCACGTGTAACATGTTGTCGAATGAAATGGCAATCAATCTCAATATGCTTGGTGCGATCATGGAAAACATCATTGTGAGCAATCTGAATAGCACTCTGATTGTCACAATAAAGAGCGGTAGCGCCAGAAGAGGAAATACCCATATCAGTGAGGAGCCAGCGAAGCCAGAGAAGTTCCTGAGTAGTATCGGCAAGAGCTCGGTATTCAGCTTCGGTGCTAGAACGGGCAGTGATCAGCTTCATGGGGGTTTGGTCCACCAAGGAATTTGTGGGGACGTAACTTTTCAAATTTTGCTATCATTTCCGATTTGTTTCGATCTTGGTTTCAGGGTGGTATATTGCCTACCTTATCAGCAATCGCGCGTATAATTCGAGCGACATCGCCATCAGACACTCCATCACCATTACCGTTGTTATTGTTTCTTATTCGTCCAGCCATTCTGGATGATGGGATTTTTTTTTTTTAGTAATTCGTGATTTGTTCATTTATTTATTATCATTATTATTATTACATTTATGTGCAAGGATAGTTTTTTAAAAAAAAACTTCATTAACTGGATTAGATAAGCTACAATTGGTAGAATACAAATAAAACAAGGAAAAGATTGAATAACATACTATGGGCAAAAGATAGCCCCTACAATCCAAGTTAACTCCTACACTCACAATTCTAAACTAGGCAATTTTTACATATGAGCATACAAAACAATCGGTTAGCTTAGTTTATAGTCCCCTTAAGACCCCTTAAAATAGCCAAGGAAAGTCTCTCCACACCAGGGCTTCCGGCTCCCATGTGGCTTGGAAAAGTCCCATGAATCGCCACAGCACCCTCACGAAGATAGCAGTTTCGCACACACGATGCCCTAGTAGCAGCACCAGCTCCTCCCGGTAGATCCTCCAGTCCCTGAAGTCCACTGACCCATCTCTCCTCACAATTCTGCTTGGGTCGGGCATGATATATTGAAGGCTCCAAAAGTCAAAAAGGTCGCCCACTCTTTCGGTGAAACCATCCGGAAAGGGGCCTAGTTGATATACCCAGGGAGTCTCTTGTCTTAGAATCTGGACAGGTCCGATATAGGTACCCACCCAACTTTCAGTTTCCCAAGCACAACCTTCTAGGGGATAAAGTCTGACATATACAAAAGAGCCAATCTGCAACCCGTTTCGCACATCCCAACCCTCAAACGTGGCTCTTATATCTCCAGTGTTCTCCTCGGTATTGCCTTCCATAGACTCATCTTCAGTGTCTGACTCAATCACAATAACCTCCGGGGGCTTGTATATTGGCACAACTTCTTCAACTTCTTCAGACTCAAGTTCAGGCTCAAGTTCAGGATCAGGTTCAGGGTCAAGCTCAAGCTCAAATTCATAGTCTTCTATAGGCATCTCCACTTCTTCACTTGGGTCAGATTCTATGTCATAGTTTTCCACCGAATTTTCCTCGTTAGAGTTAATGTCTGATGACCCTGGCATCCTACAAATAAAAAGGTTCTAACTTAGTTAGGTCATCGAGAATTACAAATTAACTTAAGGTTTTCTTAATTGTAAAAATAATAAACTACTACCCATGGCCCAAAGGTTCAAACCTAGGCTCCGATACCAAGCTGTGACGCCCCAAATTTTTTTTTTTTAAACGTCATAAGATTTAAACAACGATAACTTGCTAGATAAAGTTTTAACTACTAATTAGGATCTTTTAAGTTCTTACATAGTCAAAGTCCAACCAACAACAAAATAAAACTACAAGTTCACACACAACGTCACAACATAGTTAAATCCTAATACAAGGGATAATAGGATTTTATTTTGATAAAATCTTGACTCTAAGTCAACCAAGGTTCGATATTGGCAGCAGCTCCAATTTCAGCCTCAGTCCCTTCTTCGACATAATCTGGCATGAAACGCCAGGGCAACAAAATATATGTCATGAGTTTTGCAAAACAGTAAGAAAACGTAACCAATCTACCATTCTTTTTAAGAGAAAAATAATAAGATTCTAAACATGAGATAACAATATAATTGTACACATAAATTACAACCATTAGAATAATTTCAGTAATTTTAATAAATTAAGTGACACTCAAAATCTCACAAAAGAGATTTAACTTACCAACCACTAAGCATGGCAACGGTTAATTTGAAACCCTCCCTTGGTCAAATATTTAAGTGTTACCAACCGTAACTACCAGGGATGCCCACGTCCGGAGTTATATACCCAAGTAGTGGCATCCGTGGTCTGCCCCAAGGAAACGGTCAGCCAAGGGTAAGTAACCTCCCTGTGTGCCACCTGCACATCCACCCTTATTCCAAAACCGAATATCGAAAAGGGTTCAAATAAGTCTCTTGCCATCTTAGAGTTTCGCAACACAATTTACGTGAGAATTCTCAAAACCAGGGCTCACCCTGAACAACCGGTATTGACCGTCAACCCTTAATTTCGTACACTCTTTAAAACCAATACTCACCCTAAACAACTGGTATTAACCGTCAATTATTAACTTTATATATACCGTTATTCATTTAGATTAATTCATAGATCAAACCCATAATCTAAAAATTTATCATGAAACTAGATTTCTCAAGTCTCATCTTTTAGTTAGAAATTACCATACTTGGCTTAGTATAGGATTTTGAATAAATTTTCAAATACATAGTAAAATTTGTCTCATAGTTTCAGATTTAGTTAAAAATTTGTATAAATTCGTAGGAAGCTCAAAATTTGTGCCAAAAATTTCTGGATAAACTAGACATCATTATCAACATCTTTGTAGAAGAAATCATCTCGAAATTTTGAGTATAAGATTATCTAAAAATTCGGGTAAACATGCTGGCAGATTCAAAACAGATTATTTTCAACACAGTTTAGACAATGTATCATATGTATACAATCTGAAAATTTCAATTATGTAAAAAAAATGAGAGGATTGAGAGGGTTTTCATACTTAGTTGTAGAGTTGAAATGGAATAATAAAATGGTAGGAAAAATATGCAACCTCAACCTCCTTCTCTTCTTCCACAAGAATTCCCTCTATTTTGATGTATATGGTTTATGCTTAGCCCAGAAAAATATGAACTTTCTGTGCATGCTACTAGATGCATTATGTAGACTCTCTCCGTGGCTAGCTCTCTCTCTCTCCCTCTCTCTCACACATTCTTTTCATTAATAAAACCATTCCCTTTCTCCAAGTTCTAAGAATTAGGCTTTCTCTAATTTTTTTGCTCACTTTCTCCAAATTCTATGGCTTTCTCTAAATCCTAAGAAAGATAATGGTTTATGGTTCCCATATCACCATGTAAACAACCACGAATTTTTTTTTTTATTTTATTATTTTTCTTATAACAATAATTATTGAACATCCATAACATTTTTATTCTTAATAAGGTCTTTGTTAGTGATAGAATTGGGTTAATTTAAAACTATTTTTTTTGTACTATAATATATTTTAGGTAGATTCTGAATACAATTAATTAATTAATTTATTTATTTTCTTTTAAGAATAATTTAAATATGGGTTTTCATACCCTGGCACAAAGGTATTCAGGCTTTGGTAGACAAAATTAATTAATTTATTTATTTATTTATTTTCTTTAAGGAGTAATTAAAGATGGGTTTTCACAATCTACCCTCCTAAAAGAAAATTTCGTCCTCGAAATTAATTCGCACCTTTAGACTCGAATAGTTGAGGGTAATTGACATGTATCATATCTTCTCGCTCCCACATTGACTCTTCCGTCCCACAATGTCTCCAGAGAACTCGAACCAATGGTATAGTTTTGCCTCGTAATTTCTTCTCGCGACGATCTAAAATCTTGACAGGCTTTTCTTCAAATGTCACGTCTTCATCAAGATTAATCTCCTCCCAATTGATGATGTGAGAAGGGTGTGGCTTGTATTTCCGTAGCATAGAGACGTGGAAAACATTATGTACTCCAGCCAGTTGAGGCGGTAGAGCCAAACGGTACGCCACTTCTCCTAATTTGTCCAAAATTTCAAAAGGTCCAATGAAGCGAGGTGATAACTTTCCCTTCTTTCCGAAACGAACAACTCCTCGACGAGGCTGTATTTTCAGAAACACATGATCTCCAACTTTAAATGCTAAAGGTCTTCTCCTTTGATCTGCATAGCTTTTCTGCCTACTCTGAGCGGTCTCAAGCCTTTGCCTAATTAGTTTCACCTTCTCGGTAGTTTCTTGAACTAACTCTGGCCCTAAAAGAGGTGCTTCTCCCACTTCTGTCCAACATATTGGTGATCGGCAAGGCCGTCCGTACAAAGCTTCATACGGTGCCATACCAATACTTGCTTGAAAACTGTTATTGTAAAAGGATTCGACTAGTGGTAAATATTTCTCCCAACTACCTTTAAAGTCCATCACACAAGCTCGAAGCATGTCTTCTAAAGTCTGAATTGTTCTTTCCGATTGACCGTCAGTTTGAGGGTGAAAAGCTGTACTAAAACACAACTCTGTACCCAAGGCTTTCTGCAGACTTTGCCAGAATTGTAACGTAAAACGAGAATCACGATCTGACACTATTGAGACTGGTACTCCGTGCAATCTAATGATTTCTCGAATAAATAATCGACTTAAAGATTCGAGTGTGTCTGCTGGTCCTATTGGTAGGAAATGTGCCTTCTTAGTTAATCGATCAACCACCACCCAAATGGCATCATGGCCTTGCGGCGACCGGGGTAATCCCGTTACAAAATCCGTTGTTATGTGTTCCCATTTCCACTTAGGTATTGGTAAAGGTTGGAGTTTCCCTGCCGACTTTTGATGTTCTGCCTTCACTTGCTGACACGTCAAGCACTTAGATACGAATTGAGCAACGTCCTTCTTCACTCCACTCCACCAAGACTGTCGCTTAAGATCCTGGTACATCTTATTTCCTCCCGGATGAACCGCAAAAATCGAATGGTGAAATTCTTTAAGTACTTCCTCTCTTAATTGTTCGATGTTTGGCACAAAAATTCTACCTAAATACCTTAAACTACCATCTTGATGGAGTGTCCAATCCGGTGAAGATTCCTCGGACACTAATCGGGCCTTGATGAAGTCGGTCTCCTGATCAAACCTTTGGGCTTCCAACACTTTGGTAAGAAGTTGGGGTGTTGTAACTATTGTAAACAATCTACCCTTTCCATTCTGAGTCTCTGGTTGTAACTTAAACTCATTCACAGTGCTTACCATTTCCCATTCTTTAATTGATATGTGTAGACACCCCATTTTTGACCGGCCCTAAGACTTGGGCGCTTTCTTTTGATTACCCGATGATGACAATTAGAATGTGTTTCTCACAAAATTCTCAGTAAGAAAGATGGAATTTAAGTTTTAATCCCAACCTTCACCCATTTTTTGGCCAAACTATTTTAGACCTTAAAACCCTCTTTTCAAAATATGTTTTTTTTAAATGTTTCTACGATGTCCCGAGGCTCCCATTTCGATTAAAATATTGCACTTTTCAGTAAACCGAGTAAGGACAAAGTGGAAATAAATGGAAAGGGTTCCCAAGTGGCTTCCTCCCTCGAGCAAAAGCCCTGTTTTCAGCAAATTTTGTTTAAGAGTTTCAAAGTTCATTTTGGCATCCGTATTGCATCTTAGGCATTCTTAGGCCATAGTTAAAACATAATAATGAGGATAAGAAGTAGAAACACATCAAGATAAGAAAGAACTAAGTTAATGATTTCGGGTTTGTAATTCAGTACGTATTCGTTCTGTATCTGTGTAGGTCACGCACCGCAAGTTATCTGATTTGTCTGCTCTGTCTGTTACTTTGGAGCCATTTGCGAGTAATAACTTAGTAAAGCTATGTTTAACTTTATTTATTTTCTGTATGATGAAATAAGATCTATTTTATGAAATGTTATATTCTGTATGATAAATGATTGTCCAATTTCTGACAAGTACTCGTGGCATCCTTAGCACAAGGCCCTAGCTCGGGGGTAACATTACCGTGGTCTATGAGCACAAGGCCCTTGCTCAGGGGTAACAATATCGTGGTCTCATGGCCCTCGCCCAGAGGTAACAATACCATGGCATAAGCATGTTACAAGTTCCTGGTACCGGAAGTTCTTTTATGGAACTGGTCAAGTACGACCTTTAATGCTCTGTATATGATCTGTTAGCGATAATGGGTGTACCACGTATGATCTTCTGTGAATTGAATAAGTACATATTTCTGAACTCTGAATAAGAATATGAATCTGTTTCTACTTTCTGAATCTGTTATGGGACATCATTCGTTAAACCCTTTACTCTGTTATTATTCACTAGGCTTCCGCTCACTATTTATATTATATATACAAGTAAGCAGGTGCATGACCGGGCCTAAGCAGCAGCCTGGAGAATTTTTTGGTCAGCCAACCACCGTGCCACCCGGGGAGGTTCTCGTCTAAGAAGTCAAGTTTTGTGAATCATGTTATGGATGTTTTGTTATTTTGTTTTTGTCTATCTGTACGCTGGATTAAGTCCCTTATGATACTATTTGTAAGATGTTACAAGACTTATACGTCATGGATAGATATTTAAGTTTAAAATTTATGTCCCATGTATGTCTGTACAACTCAATGGACATTATATTTTGTATATTCGCTTCCACAACCCCTCTATTATTATAATATTCAGGTTAGAGGCCTTTCGTAATCCCAGGATTACTAGCCGATTATGATGCTAAACCTATAGGGGCGGGTTTGGGTCGTGACAATACGTGATAGGGTCGTCACAGCGTGAGCTCGTCCAAATCAACATTTTATACCAAGTTGTCCCAAGTGGACGCTTTGCATAAGTCATCCAATAAGGACATTCTGTATGAGGTCGTCATATATGGATGTTTTGTATGTGGCTGTCCATTGAGGGCGTTTTGAATGCTTCGTTTCATTATGAATGTTCTGTGTGACATTTTGTCAAAGGTTTAATAATGCTTTTGGAAATGCACCACGCTATGTGTAAAACTATAAAAGGTTTGTTGAAGGTTTGATGAGCTGTATGTACTTTAAATATACATATATCTAATAACTAATTTGTTCTACCGTGACCGTTTTGTGTGGTGTCCCGTCAAGGTTTGATAATTATTGGGTAAGCTAAAAAAGGTTTAATGATCCATAGTTGCCATTACTCGTTTTCGAAGGATGCTTGAATTATGCCAAGAACCTTATATTGTTATGAGCTATGAATCTCATTCAGTTAACCTCTTTACATTGAGATTATTCATTGGGCTTTAACTCACTGTTTGTTTATATGTGTATGTAGGTGATCAGGCACCAGACCGAACTTAGAGGTGTTGACCTAAACCCCATTTTGTCAAGCCAACTACCGCACCTCACCGCAAGGTTTCGAACCGTCACGTGTCAAGGCTTTTTGGGTGGTTCAGAATTCACCCTTTTGAGGCTGTGTTCAAGCAATATGAATGTTTAATGACTTTTGTTAATATTGTGTTTGGTAATGGGATTTATTTGCCTAACTTATGTTTTTATACTTGTGTATAAGTGTGACATGGACGTAAGTGAATGTGTGTATATATTGTACTAAGTTTGTTTGTTCATGTAAGTTCTCACAGCTCATTGGACGATGTATTATATGACTTATTGGCTTCTGCTAGCCTTTTTTACTGTATTACTGTTAAGCAAGCCTTTGTTAATCACAAATTACTATCCGGTTACGACACAAAACCTATAGGGGCAGGTTTGGGTCGTGACACTGTCATTCCGACAACTAATGCTACTGCCATCCCCAACACTAAGTTGAAAGTTATTCAAATACAAATTATACAATCTAGGTCTCTGCTCTATAATTGCAACAATTCCATTCCACACTTTTGAATACTTGCTATTAGGGCTGAAAGAAGGTTTCCAGCTGCCCATATCAAGCTTATATTAGATTTGCTTTTCATTTACTATCTTAAACTTTCGGGTAGATATGAGTTTCAAACATTATATATTAGACACGCTTGTTACATATGTTTGTGGGTCCGAGTGTTATATATCATCGAGTATGTGTTTTTCTTAGATTATTATTTTAAAAACATAACCAATCACATGTGTCCTACTTAGGTATTATTTGGGAAGCAAATTTTAGCTAAAAGTCATTACAAGTTGTCAAATTATTCGTTCTATTTTTGTGTATATTTTTTTTGTAAAAAATCAAAAAAATCAAAAAAATAGTTAATCTTCAAACAAGCTCTAAGTGATAATATGAATCGGTGACAAAAATTCATAAAACATTTTTGTTACATGAACAGAAAGGTTAAGTTTTTCTCATATTCACATCTCAATATGAAACAACTTGAGAGACCTTTGAGGCCTACTACAGGTCCCGTTTCAATAATTCATATTGTTCATTTTATAAGACTCAATATGTATCATCCATGAAAAAAACTAGTTTGATCTAATAATTGTTGTAAGTTTTTTATTTTACCACAATTCTCTTTGAAAAAATAGATAGCAAATATATTTTTAATATAAACTTTTCATTTTTTTTAGAGTCAAATACAAAAACTTGAAAATATTATTATTAGATTGATCTAAGTTTTTTTATGAATGATATATATTGAGAGTCTTACAAAATAAACGATTTAAATCATCAAAACGAAATTTGTGGTAAGCTCCAAACTCCTCAATTTTTTTTTTGGTATTAATATGCAAACATGAGAAAAATTAAATCCATAAAAAAAAAAAATATGGTGTGTTCCTCATGCTATAATTCTTCACATAGCTTACAAATTTTAGCTAGGATAACCAATGACTATGAAGCCAAGAGCCGCCCTCGTGGTCCTCTCTCCTTATATCTTGCCTTTATTCATTGAACAAGAAAATATTGCCAATACACAAATTAAATATAGGATATATATGCACAATTTTTTACATAATTATTAATATATGAATTTCACTTTTAAAAGCCTTATTATCCATATGCATTTTGTATTTAATTTTGTGTTCTTAAATTTATTTATTATAAATTTTTTTTTATAATTTGTTGTTTTACTTTACTTGATCAACAATATTAGGGATACTAATACATTTACTAACAATTTTACGAACACATTCATAAGTTGACGTGGGTTCGGGACCCACATCAACTCGAACCGACGTCAACTTATAAGTGTGTCAGTAAGATTATTAGTAAATATGTTAATATGCATAGCATTTTTCTAACTTTATTTACCTCACCTTCGTTTTTCAGAGGTAGATTTCTTACTTTTTAAAAATGTGTGGTCCAAGGATAATTTTTACATATCGTACGAGTAATTTTATACCAACAAGATTTTTATTGGGATAATTTTATTTTAGTATATATTTAACAAAATATTTTTAAATTAGTGATAAATTTTACAAATATTAAAAAAATTATAATTTTTTTAAAAAAAAAAATCTATGAAATGTAATTTTCCCATTTGTGTAATAATTTTTTAAATCGAAAAGTCTACAACTACAAATTATACTCCCTTCATCTCATTTTGTTGGCCATTATTTCATTTTTTGTTATTCCAAAATACATGTCCACTTTAAAAAATCAAAATTTTAAATTTAGAAGTATTCAGAATTAACCCTGGTAAAGTAATTATAAAATATTTAAAAATAAGAATAGAATGGTATTTTTGGAATTAATCTTTTAAAATTTAAATTCAAAATATAATGATTATGTTTCTTTCAAAAGTTTAAAATTTTTAAAAGAGACTATCAAACGGAGGGAGTAGTTATATAAATATTATTATCACATTGTTTTAAATGATTTTTTGTGTATAATTTTTGGACTTGGGTTTTCTATTGGAGGGTGTTGTCGGTCTTTGTGGGGCCATCATGGAAGCTGCATCGATAATCTGAACCGTTAAATATGTAGAGCTTGTCGATTATTTTATTCTTCTAAAAAATTACATTGATCGGATATTGATAGTCACTTGATTAGAAGACATTTATGTCAATAATTTATTTTTAAAATTATATTTACCGTTGACACAAATATAATCTAATCAAATGATAATTATTATCTGATTAACATAATTTTTTATAAAAATAAAACACTTAACGAACACCACATATTGAACCGTTCTAATTATCAATGCGGGCTCTACAATGATCCCACAACCATCCAACAACTCTGAAATGCCTCCCTAATTTTTATTTTATTTTATTTTGTATGTTAGCTTTAGTGAAAGCAACTGCTCAACTTTGTGCGATTGATTTCACCTGCTTGGG